AGAACTCTCATAGCAACTTCTAGTAGCCAAATTCACTTCATAGAAAAACACCAAAACAACGCCTTTTCTTAAGAATTGAAGAAATAAATCGAATAATATAACTCACCTTTGAACCTAATCCCCAAGCCATGGAATCAAGACGAAAACCCTAAATTAGAAATTCGCGAAACCCTAGAATCGCAGAAAAGAATCAAAACAGGGGATTGAGCTATGGAAGTGTGAGGAATCTAAGTATAATTGGGACAAGACGAAGCCTTGTTGAATACTGATCTCGCTTGGGAAAAGAAATTCAACGAGGGTCAAGGAAGAAGCTTGTGGTGAATTGGGTAGGCGAAAAAAAAAAGTAAAGAGAGAAATGCCTTTTTTTGTGAGTCTCTCGCTTTCTTATTGGACGAGTTTCCTTACGTCCACCATAGATTCCGTGTTCTTTATGGCAGCTGATGATGATGTCATTTGTGGTTGACCGGTGTGGCATTTCGGTTCAAGTTTCCGGTTCGATTTCGTTTTATATGCTTTCTGGTTTTGATGCGAATCTCTCGTATCCTGAAAAAAAGAAAGAGAGTTTATGATACTAGATGGGCGTTTTAAAAAATTGAGAACTCATCCTAAAAAACTAATTATAAATTTTGAGGAATTGTAGGTGGGTTTCTCAGACAATTTACATGGCCATATGATTTTCCAAAATATATGAGAGACTCAGCTTACATCCATTAGGTGTTAAGATTCAGTTTTTTTTTCAGCAGGGTTTAGGGTTTAGTTTTAGGTTGAGGTTTTTTTATTTTCTTAGGTTGAGATTGTGGTACGTGCGTAATATATTTGTTGGTATTACTTGGTAATTTCCGGTTAGTTAATGACTACACGTAGGGCTTGGCATCAATACTCGTACCAGTTGCTTGACATGTATTCATCTTGAAAATCCAAATATTTGGTGTTGTCAAGTCGAGTAACAAATTAACAAATTTTACCACTCGCAAAAGTAAGACAAGTATTAAGTATTATTTTATTTTTCAATATTTGGTATTCATTACTCGTTTATAAATATTCGTCACTCGTTCTATAAAATATTTGTTACTTGATAAATAATACAATACTTGTTACTTGTAAAATAATATTGGTCTTGATTTGATAATAATTCCATACCAATATTAGTTTAATAAACATGACAACTCATTACTAAATAAGATATCAAACTCGTTACTCGATTCTTTATAATATGCATAAATATTTTTTAAAAGTAATTGTATGTTATTTTTAGTAGAATAAATAAGTAAACTTTTATGTCTATTTTTAGTATATGATTATCTAGTAAATAATTTTTAAATACTCATAAATACACGTAAATAATTCATAATTACTCGTAAGTAACAAATAATAAAGCGAGGCAAGTAACTTGCAAATAACTGATTTTTGGTTAAGTACTCGAGATAGGAAGTACTCGTTTTAACAAGTCAAATACAAATCGAAAATTTTATTACTCGTACAAAACAAGTCTAGTATCAAATACACGTAAAATAGCGAGTATTCGCCTTGCGCCCAGCCCTAACCACACGTTTACCTTGATGAAAACTGTCATTATTAAATGCCACACACAAGAATTTCGACACTTAAAACCGCACTTAGCTAAAACAAGTGATATGCACACTTTCTAACAAAGACATCATGTTTAGCCAAAGAAAGGTTTTAGTTGTAATCTGAACCATGACATGACTCTTTGAAGGCATGAATCATCCCATGTATTTGCTGCCTTTGTCGCTTTGTATGAGATGGGAATTAATAACAATGCAATACTGCCAGTGCTAGAAAGCATTCTATCACTAGTTTGTTACAAATTCATCTTGTACGAATTATGGGGAGAAACATAAATCATAGTAAATCATATTCTTACTTTACTGAAATAAATTGATAACACTAGCATTTTTTATTTTGCTTAAGCATAATAAATCTCTTTAGCAAGCAAATCTTAAACGAGACATTCAACATAGAACGTTAACACAATTTTGTTTAATCATTCAACTAGACAAGAAGAGCCTTTATAATGTCTTCGCATATCTTCTCCTCAGTGTTTAGAAGATGTCCATAACCAGGGACTTCATGGTACTTAATCCATGGAAGCCTCTTCGATATATACTGATTAATTTCACGAGGAACGATCCTATCTTCCATCCCTTGCCACATGTGGACTGATCCTACACCTTCCGCAAACGGATTCTCCAGTTCAGTTGGGTCAAACTCCCATGTCGCAAATCCAGCTATCATGTCACGGTGTAGACATTCATGGTCTCCTTGTTGCCTTGCCTTTTCCTAGGTCCAGGAGATTAAAATTAAAATATAGAGTCAAAATGTAAATACTTTAGGTTTTAGGTTTTTTACCATGAGAGGGTTAGGATTCTTTTGCTTCTTCTTTATGATGACCAAATCTTTGTCGCTGCGTGAGACTTTGCTCCCAGAGATTACACTCGAAGAAGTAAACAACTTTTGTGTCAACCACCAATACAAGAGCCAAGGAACATAATGAGCCACTCTAAATGTCCACTGGTCTGTTTTTGGCAATAGCTTAAGCGCTTCACTCAATATGTTTTTAGGCACTTTAGTCCACCAGTAACTCACAAATGGAACCACTAAGACTGCTCCAGCTAATCTATGAAAATTAAAAATATGAGATAGGAAAGTGTAACAAATAGAATATAATAGTTTCGACTTTGTTTACCTGTGGGGAATGTATCTGAGGCAGCGATAAGTGGAGTATGCACCAAGTGATACCCCTATAACGTAGAACTTTGGTCCGAGTTTGAGTTTATCGGCAAGTTCTTGAATGTCATATGCTTCGCTTTTGACTGTGCGTGAAGGGTGTGGATCACTTTCTCCATAGCCTGCTCTATCGAAAAACACAAAATATAGACCTAGCTCCTCAACAAGATCCTGCAAAAATAAAAAAGGATCTTTCTTAAATACAAAAAATGGAATCAGTTGAGGAAAAAACATAGTATTATACCGTGAATTCATGTTATATGTCAAATGAGAAACTAAATGCTGATAAAATAGTTATAAAAATTGTGAAAATGACACGTGTTACGTTTGTGAGGATCGATAAAGAGTGAAGAGAGCATACTTTAGAGATGGGAAAATCCATATATTTGGAGCTGCTAAATCCATGAACGACGATGATCTTGTACTTAGCATTGGCTCTATCAACACCAGATTCTCTGTAAGCTAGGTGTCTTCCATCACTGAGTTTGATTCTCGGAGAAGTAACAGGAGGACCGTGAGAAGTACCGCAGATTCTCGATGGTGGATGCTTCAATGATCGGCAAATGTAGCCTATAAGGCAAATTATCGCAACGATCACTAAAAGCATCATTATCGTTACTTATACCTGAAACAAAAGGTGGCTAGCTTGAGTTAAACATAATGCATAATCTAAAAGACTCTGAATCATAATCATATGAAAACATAAAACTCTCAGTCTTTAACTTGGTTAAAAATTAAACTAATGAACATGAATCATAGAGAGGTCAGCTTAAATTAGAAAAATGCATGTAATCTAAAGATTATGAATCATTATCATATTAAAACATTAGATTATCAGTCTCAGACTTGATTAAAACTAAGAATAATGAACTAAAATGACAAACCTTTAGATAATATGGTTTTAGCCTATTGGTTTGGCTCTTAGATTAGCCTATAGGATTGGTTCTTAGGTGACACTATATAGCTCATATTTATAGTATGGAATTCATATGTATATGGGAAAAATTACAGAGTCACGTTCCTCTTATTATTTTTTTTGAAATAACAAGTTTATCACAATAAAGTAAAGCAGAAAATGGTTTAAAAAAAGTAAAATTAAGCAAAGAGGTTACACATTAATATCTAAAGAATAAAATGTTATTACTTTAATGCCTTGTTGATAAATAATTAATTTTAATTAGAAAATTATCTATCAATCACCAAATAACAAAATAATGTGAGAATATCTAGAGAATATTTTTAGAGATGCTTTCTAAGATACTTCTACTAATTTTTTTTTTCAGTTGTTTTGATTTTTCCAATTTTTAACTATTAATTTTCTAAGATATATTTATGAGGTATTTTTTTGGAGGAAATATTATAGCATAATTATCAATAGAGACTCAATATTAGTATTTCATAAATTCTAACACAAAATAAAATAAATGAATATTTTAAATGTTAAGATATTTCAGAAAAATAGTTCATTTGAGAAATTTTTAACAAAATATCTTAATATTTGAAAATTTTATTTTTTGTTTGAATTTGTGAGATATTAATAATTAAAATCTATTAATAATGGTGCTTTTAGCATGGAAAGAGAGTTTCACAAAAAAAAAGCATGGAAAGAGACAGTCACCCTCAAACTGGCATCCACTTATTGACGTAGTATTATTGTGTGTGTGTGTGACGCTGACATGCGTATTGTTTGTCTTATCATGAATCACATTCTCTCCTTTTCATATACATTACATGAATCTTCTCTTGTGAATTGGAATACATTTTAACTAAAGTATCTATTATATTAAACAACTATGCGTATTGTTTGTCTTAACGTTTGTTATAACTTGTAAGGATAACCATTAGGATACCAAAAAATATTTGGATTCGGATTAGATTCAGTTTTGATTTTTCCAATACCAAAATTTTAGATTTGTTGGGATATCTTACCAGCTTCATTTTCAGGTTTGGTACAGTTTTTAAAGCCAGATTCTGTTCCAAGTATTTGCCAAGCCCTAGTTTGTTATTATGATTACAAGTAGGTAGTTTATTTTTTTTTCAATTTACATCTACTAGTTTTCTTTTGGATTTGATATAAGCGTAAAGTCAGACATTACCATATAGATGCGTAAGAAAGAATGAACTCAGAACAACTTTAAGGAAAAACAAGAGCAGTTTGATCTCTGATTCTTGAATTGTTATACCATACAACAAAAACATGCATTTCCATCTCTTTGATCTCAAAATCAAGTTATCCAGAAAACTTTAGCGGTTTAAGGTAATTTAGTTGTCTCTGTGGATCCATAAGCAGCATCAGCTGAAGAAGTATCTATGTCGTTGAGACCCAGCTCCTCGTTTTGCTCCCATGATCTCTCGAAATCTTCATCTGTAGTTCATACATAACAAGACATGTTATTCAAAACACACTGAGTCCTGTCCTTATTCACATACCGAGTCTTAAGTCGATTTCATGATGCTGTTTACAAAATGTTTTGAATATTTGTTTCAATCTTGAACTAAACAACTCATAGGGTGTAGTCAGGGAAACTTACATGTGAGTTGATGATCATCTTTGATATCATCTGTTACTGGTGAAATAAAGGAATTTGCTAATTCATCATCAAGAATCAATGTCCATGGCTGTTCTAAGCTTAGGAGCTGCAAGGAAAGGAGAAAAACATCTTTCATTATAGAAACCAGGTCTGTCTTATTGTTTTGTTTTGTTTTTCGCACATGAAGAACACGACAAGGGTAATAATAATTAACAGAAAATTCAATAAAGATGATTACCTTAGTAAGCCTGGATCCAAATTCTCTCCACTTGTTCTTCTTACTCTCATCTAGACTGTCACCAAAAGTGAATCCGTGAACTCTCGCTAGGCCTGTGAGAACCCATACCAAACTTGGGTCAGTTGCTATATCACTGGCAAGACCAAACAATGAAAGCTTCGCAAGGATACTTAGACCACATAAAAATGGTTTATGCTATCTGTTCTACAATACTTAGACCACATTAAAATGATTATGAAGCGTGATTCAGAGATGCCATAGACTATGGATAAAGGGCAAATGTTGAAAGGTCATAACTCACTTTCTCTGATCTGTGTGACCAAACCTTCAACTGTTGTTACCATTCCACCAAGTGTACCACCAGCTAGCTCCATATCAAGTTCTGGGATTATCACTCCTGCTGTGTCTGACTAATAAACGCCATAAACAAAACTCACCATTAATAACATACTATACTAGAAGGTGTTGCTCCAAAATTACAAAATATCATATTCCATTTCCTAGAGTAGTGGTTCATAAGGTTATCCGCTACAATATTGCCATCAACTAACCTTGATAACATCTCGGCTAAGGTCAGCGATGTCCTTCACAGAGAGAGTGATTTTCTTTCCCTTCTCAGGAATAGCACCACCAGGCTTCAACTGCACACGATTAACCCCAACAAAGTTAACAAACATCAAGACCAGGTATATGTCTGCAAAAAATCTCTAACAAGATCATCAAACCAAAGGGAACCCAACCTCAGAATTGCGATAGCCACAATCCTCACATGTGGATGCCATGACAATAACCTCCTGAAAGTACGGGATTTCTATTTTCTGTCAAGTGGTAAACAACATCTAAGAGTTCACGGACAAACAAACATATGGAAAACTTGTTGCAGAAAACCAAGGAATGGAACTTCGAAAGGATACTCGTCACGAACATCCGTGTCTCACACTGCTTCATACATGCTCCGCAGGTTGAAGGGAAAGTCATCACCTATTAGAATCATTGCAACGTCATATGAATAAATATCTTATCACCAACTAAGCTTAAAGCAGTCAACATAACTAATTCTAAAATTTACAGAATTAGAAGTTACCTCTTCAGGGGCAGAGTATCTAAACAAGTTATCGGAAATATCAGTGCTATTACTCTGAGCAATAGCTCGATGACCACCTGTTGCTCCGATTGTTCCATGAGGTAGAGAAGTTGTTTCAGTAGAAGGTGCGGCAACGCTTCCTTCTGATTGTCTAGCCTGGGATGGATCTGCAAGATATCCAAGTGTTGCTTGCTGCTCTGGTGTTCGCTCATAGAACTTGATGGATAAAGAGGGATCAGGTGATGGAGCATGTCTGTCATGTTGCAAAACTTGTCAATAAGCAAATGAAAGAAACATAACTACTTCTATTTTTTTTTTAGGTGTTTTCATGTCGGATATCCTTACGGGTTCTCAACGAAACTGTTTCCAGCAGGATCGTCCAAAATGAAGGTGAAGGATGTCTCTGCTTTTGCACAAGCTCTCAGTTTAGATAAGAACTGGTCTATTGCTTCAGCAGTTTTAGGATCAACTTTCTGTGTTTCAGCAAAATATATATAGTTAAAATTCTCGACTGTAAACAATTAAACTGCTGTTCAGTTCCTAGTCAGAAGAATACCTTGCGTTCTTCTTGAAGGGCACTCAGTTCATCTGCAGCTCGTGCTAATATTCCTTCCACCTGTAAAATACACATGAGGAGCGTTATAGACTAGACGCCACTAAGAAAGAGCTAGCACGAACAAAAAGTTTTCCTAACTGATAGCTGAAAAAGCAACACAGATAGAGTTCAAGTCGAAATCTTCCCAGTAATTAAGTGTTAAGTTTATGGTTACATAGTCAGTATATGCACCAGTAGTTCTAAATAAATAAACACTCCAGAAATTCATAACAAGATGGTTTGAGATTTAAAGGACTTACAGTAGACAAACTTCCACGTTGGGCCTCTGGTGGAATCTCAAAATCCAGTTCAGGAATCTGAAAGCATATACATATATTCGCAAACTAATGTCAGTTTTCAGCTTCATATCAGTGCAGTTTTCATAATACGAGAAGCAAACTAATTCACAGTCTTCAGGAAGATTAGGTGAAGCAAATTCTTATATATGCAGGAAGCGCCACAAATTTGATAAAAACAGAGTACATTTTTTGCGAAACAAAAAAAAGAGCAATGACAGACACATAATTACCAAGACAACTAACCTTAATAGTGGCTGATTCAGATTTCACTACTTGCCGGTCAAATATCTGCATTCACACAGAAACAAAGAAGGTAAAATTAGCTTAAGGAGCGAGAGACAACAACCAAAACTAGATATTCACGTTTCTTATAATTAGCATGGATTGCTACATTCTAGTTCATGGCAAATGCATCAACAATTTTGAAAAAAAAAAAATAGATAAAAAGAACAGAAATGTAGAATTGGATCAATGTATTAAAACCTTCTCATCGCCAGCTAGAACCTCGAGATGGTAACAGCAACCTCGGGGTTGAATCTCTCCAGCAAACTGAACTTCATTATTCCTATACCATATATAAGATACAAAAAACTATTTAGTTCTTTTTTAAAACGAAGCTCACGTAACGAATAGTTAAACGCATCTCAAAAAAGTTGTTACAAAGTTGTACCTTTCTCCGCAATGGGAACATTCAAATGCAGATATTAAGACCTGAAAGCAGAATTAGTTTAGCAGTAAGAAACACAAGGTAGAGAAAGGGTATAAATAAATAGAACATAAAACCAAGATAAAACGATCCTCTTCAAAACAGAGTATATGGCATACCTTTCTGAAGTGAGGAATTAAGGTCAACAGAAACCTGCTTGTTCCCTGAAAACGAATAAGAAAGCTATGTCCATCAATACTGGAAAAAAACAAGCTTAAAAGTCTAAAGACAGACACTAAGCCTAACAAAGGTTTCATCCAGAACTCAAAGAAAGTATGAGAGTGTGAAGAGGAGAGAGAGAGAGAGAGAGAGATACATTTTCATGGCAGCGCATGCACATGCTCTCAACCACATAAAGGGGAGCACCAAAGGAGTGATCGGCGGAAACAGCTTCAACCACTGATCCAACATCAATGTCTTGGTCTTTCCCATCCTCCATTGTCTAATCAAAATCCCAAGAGATCAAATTAGCCGCAAAGTTAGCAACCTCAAGAAGAAGGTGTTGGTCTGCAAGCAGCAGACAACAAAAAAGACAAGCTAAAAGCATGAAACTTTGTGCTAATCAAAGATGTGTTTTTTTTCTTTCTCTTTTGTAAGAGAATAAGATCATGGGGAAGGTTCAAAACTCAATCCAAAACAGTAAGAATCAATAAGGGTTTCTAAAGAATTCATTTTTGAAGATGCAACCATATGATACAAAACAGAGGATATAATAACAATCTTAAAGTTATGAGCAGAGAGACACGTAACAGAGAGCTTTGTACCTAAAAGGAGCAGAGACAGAGAGTAAAGCTCACGCCGCCGGGAGAGAACGAGCTGAGCCTCAGAAAGTTTCGGATGGGAACTTGGAGGGAAGAAGGAAGGAAGGAAGGAATCTTCTGCTCGCGATTTAGGGTTCGTTACTTTTACTCTCACGGCGTCGTTTTTGGGTTTTCCAACCATTTGCAACAGACCGGCCCATTAGCCCAATATAGAAGTGGAGTTAATCCCAAGTAAAGTGATTGCAGTTTTATGTTTCATGAAGAAGCATATAGTACAAGAAACAAGACAAACCTGACTCTCTTTCCATTAATGCCGATTTTTTTAAGGAAAACTCTGGGGAAGGTTATTCTTCTTCATCGTTCATAAATGTGATGTCAACAAAGTGAATAATATATTTCTTCTTGTTTACAATTTGGCAAACACTAGATTGCTTCCATCTCTTTTTTTTTTTTTAGATTGCTTTCTTGTTTGATAATATATTTCTTCTTGCCCCACTGATCACTACTTTTATGTACTTGAGATTACTTGATTTGTATTAAACTAACAAATCTACTATCATTCAAACATGAAGGTTAAAAACACATTTTAAAATCTAATATTATTGAATTTGTTATTACATAAAAAAGTACTATGAAATCCACCATTATTGGAAAAGATTATGTTGTAGTGATTCAGGTGTTTATAGAGTGGGTGGTGTTTCAAAGTTAGAAAAAAATAGAAATCCAAGTCTCATAGTTTAAAGATGAAATTCTAAGGTAATTTAACAATAATCATATTAAATTCTCAAATTCATCTAAAAATCATCAAATAACTCATTAAAAATCAAATCATTCTAACACCTACATGTTTCTTTATGGTTAGTAACAAACTCATATCTTTTTAAAGATGAAGAATCAATAGTGTTTAGAATGTCTTTACCAAAGCTTTCATAACAACCGACACACTCAATCCTCTGTTCCAAACTAGTTCTCTAGAATCCTTCTCTCCCTAAAGAACACTGCTTCACTCTTATGTGTATAAAATAAGCCATGAAAACTAGGTAGCTCCTACTATGTGGTTTTTGAAGAATATGCATGGAATTAACTACTAAAGGTTCAAGTACAACACAATCTATAACAAGACCGAGGCAGTAAAAGTATACATATAATTACTGCAATAATAAAACTTGTCAAACAAAAGCTAAAAACAAAATAGTTTTATTGAAAGAGAGACTAGGGCCACAGACATTTTCAATTGTTCTTGGGAGGACGAAAATAAGCATAGGCTGCAAAGAAGGCTTGGATTATGGTAAGTAGAAGAAGCAGCAGAGCCGCACAAGATGATAGAAACGTCCATGGAGTGTGGAAATGTGTGTACTTGAACCCTGCCCAATGTACATGGCATCCTTTTGAAGTGTACTTGTTCACTCTCTCAAACAACTTTGCTAAATAACTCTTAGATATGCTGAACGAGATGTCTTTCCCTATGTTCTTGAAGAACAAAGAAACTTGTTCACCCGTTCCAAAATAGTTCTCTATGATCCCTTTCTCAACTAAGAAGGTCGCATCCTCGTCTGTGTTTATCAGGCAACCCATAAAAACCACATAGCTTGTAATCTCCGTTGTGCATCTCATGTTGAACTGCTCAAAGGCTACGCAGTTGATTAAAACAGAGCTCATAAAATCATCAAAGACTAGTAACGGTATCTCAAGCAAACCGTTCTTGAAATTTATGTCTAACGGTGTATCAACATTCTCCCTGCGCTTGAACTTTATTCCTCGAAGACGAAGCTTCTTGGCTGAGACAATTAGTTCAAGAAAACGGCTGGGAGGTGGTGATGTTTTTTGGGCTCTAGTACCGCTCTCCTTTGAAGGACATATCTTAGTTAAACAAGTGTTTTTGAGTGTCTTTATAACTCTTGTTTTTTCCTCAGGACCACTTGAATCAATATTGATGCAGCATTGCTTTTGGGTGGTTGGTGGAGACGGGATGGGTATGAAAGTCTTACGAATGAGATCAAGAAGATGTTTTGCTCGAAGATTCTTATGTTTCTCCCAGGAGTTTTCTGGTTTCTTTATCGAATACTTGAAGAAGGTGAAGGCCATCTCGTTTAAGCTTGTGGATGGAGCTAACTTTGATGTCTCTAAGATTTTATTAAGAAGAAAGAGAGGAACCTGGTTTTCTAGAAGGAGGAGATCACTTCGAAGAGTAGGCAGTATCCATCTCAGCTTGAATATTGGGTCGTTGAAGTTTTTGTACTCAATCTTTCTTGACACCACAAGGAACAGCATAAGAATGAAACAACTATCAAGAAGCATCACCTTGGTCAGCTTTTCTTGACTAAAGTCAAGATTCTCGGAATAAGAATCTCTAATGGCCTGCTCAGATTTGGAGACTACATCAATTAAGTGACTTAGGTTGACGCCATTTTCCTTGGTCTTTGACACGAAGAACTCTAGATAACGTTTCTTGTGCTCCTCGATCATCTTGAGATGTTCATGTTCTTTATCATCTGAATGATGATAAGGGCCTATTGAGACGATCTTGGGTGAATAAGCTGTGTGGTTGGCTCGCCCAAGAATGTGAGGGATTCTGAAGATACAACATGAATTATCACCTGCTGATTCCTTCAGAAGGATTGGTGGGGTCACTTTATCTAAGAGCAACAAAGCTGCTTCTTCTTCTTCTTGGTCTGGTATCATTTCACTGTCTTCATTGACTTGACTTGGAGGATACATGGCTCTCTTGTTAAGAATCTTTTTTTGGTCCTGCGTTGAATGGTCTAAGTTCAACGATAAACACAAAATATTTAACGATTAATGAAAGACCACAGTATGGTCTTTAGTCTCAAATTATTAAATTGGTATTATTACAAATAATTTATAGATGTCATGTTTTTTTCCGCTTTAGTGGTTAACTAAAGCCGTTCAGTCGTTCACACATAGACTAATGAGTATCCGAGGATGACTGTGGTCTTTCATTACCGATTAATAATAATCCGCACGTTTCCATAGAATAAAATTATTAATTTTATTATTTATTAAAATAAAAAATATTATATCGTTTAATTTGGATATTGATGCGGTTTCAGGTTAACTTTTTAGTTTTAACCTATTCCAATATAATTATTATTACTAATCAATATTTATTTTGTTTATTTGATTAAAATGTTTGAAGTTTTAAGATTTTTCAAACTTTACTATTATTTAAGAAATAAATTTGATTAGTTATCATGTCCTTAATAAGTTTAGGTAGTTTTGTTTATTTATCATATTTTTAATATTTATATATAATTTATTTATAAATAAAATGAATTTATATGAATATATCATACTTTAGAAAATAAGATAATTCTTGTGAATTATGTTGTTATCTTGAATTATACTTTATATATAAAACTTTAATTTTAAATTAAGATATAAAAACATTATATTTATTATATAACTAAAACAAATTTATATTAATAAATTTATATTTTTCTAAAATAAGATATTTTTATGTATTTTGTTGTTATGTTGAAAATATATTTTTTATTCTAAACTTTAAATTAAGATATAAAAATTATATAATTAATAATTAAATATAAATCATCAAAAAAATTATTTCAAAAGTGAATTTGTTGATTTGTCACCATGATCCTAGGTAATTTTGATCATTTATCATAATTTCTATAATTCTATATATAATTTATTATATATTTAAAACAAATTTATATTAGTAGTATCAGATTTTAGAAAATAAGATACTTCTTATATATTAAATTGTTGTCTTAAAAAATTATTTTTCTATTAGAAATTTAAATTAAGATATAAAAAATTGTAGTTATTTTATAATTGAAATAAATTTACACTAATAATAGTATACTTTTATAAAATAAGGTAATTCTTATGTATTATGTTGCTATCTTGAGAATATATTTTTATATTCTATAATTTAAAAGTAAAATAGAAAATTATATATTATTAATTAGATATAAATAATCACTCAAGAAACATCATTTAAGAAGTGAATTTGCTTATTCATTAAGTTCTCCATGATTTTAAGTAATTTTAATTATATGTCATAATTTCTATAATCTTATATAATTATTATATAAGTAAAAAAAAATTATCATATTATATTTTACAAAATAAATAATTTATGCATTATATTGTTATCCTGAAAATATATTTTTCTATTATAAAATTTAAAATTAAGATATAAAAAATTATAATCAAATATATAAATTAAGTAAAAATATTTGTATAAATATTATAATTATTATAAATCAAGCAAAAATAATTATAGAAATCATGAAAGGGGAAGGGGACAGCCCATGCCAAACCGGCATGTCAAAGAAAACACACAAGAAAAACGATCAAGAGTTGAGTGGATCGGTAGGTATAGGATCGTATAGTTTTTGGAAAAAAGCAATTACGAATTTGTTTTTCTAGTTATATTTAAAACATACTAGTAGTATGGCAATACATAAAAGCCAAATAAATAACATGAAAATTAATGGAATCAATTTTTCAAAAGCCGAGAATAATAAACAAAACTAGATCATAACCCACCCGACTGGGCGGGTCTTTGTTTTTATGGTATATATAACATTTCAAAATTACAATTTAATGGTGCCAGTTTTACTAAGTAATAGTATATTGTTTAAATATTATATTTTATTATTGTATTGTGTTACAGGGGCGTCTTAAAATATTGTGACCCGTAAACATTTTAGTAATATTTTATAAAGTTTTTTGACTAAATTTGGTGTAAAGTTATATACATTAAATAATTTAGTCAAATTTTTAATTAATTTTTTAATGAAGAATTGGAAGGCTAGTATATCACTGTTAAAAACTTATAAGAATAGTCAATATAAATTATGTAAATAAAATTTATATTATTCTTGATTTATTCTAAATACATTTAAAACATGAATACATATATGTATAAATAATTTTTAGAAGTAAAGTAATATCAATGATAGAAAATCCAAAAACAATAATAATGGTACATTGGGCCGCAACAATCTTTAGTATAATAAATAAGCCCATTAAATTTGTATGATATCCATGTTTCCAATCAAACTTTTAAAATTTTCTTATTCATGTTTCCAAACACTTTATTTTTGTACTTCAGCTTTAATAGTATAGATACACTATAGAAAAAAGACAAATCACGTTAACCCATGCCAACTAATAGTTTTGACTTTGATATGCATATCTAATCCGGACGTTGTAATAACTCTTCTTGTTTATATCCATACTATTAAAAGAGAAGGAGTCTAAATAAATCTACTTAAAAAAGTTGTTTGGACCCTTTCATTATACTAACATTTTTTTTTATCTTTCCTTATATTTCTCTAACAATATTGTACAATAACATTATATCATATAACTTACCTTATATTTCTCTAACAATAAATTAATCAATATTCTTATTTATTATACATTACTCTTATCGGTCAATATTTTTATTTCACCACAATACATTATTATAACCTTATACCATATAATTTCATAATACGTGACTGATTTCACACATTAAACAAAAAATATATCATTTGCTTGAGCCACCAACTGTACAACAGTACCCTCTGTCATTTCCATTGATTAATTTTTATAGCTGATGTTTGATAAATAGAGAATATAAAATATATTGAACATCTCCATTCACGATAAATATGTTTAAAACCAAACATATTATTATTTTTAGAGTAAACCTATCTGTAACATAGTATATTGTAATAATACAAAAACCGGTTTATTATCATAGTATTCTAATGTTTGGGGATATTTATACAAACAAGTTATAAATTAATGATTTACTATTCTAGAAAAACTATTTTAAAACATTAATTTTGTTTAAAAAGATATCTAGACTCGTGAAAGATTGTAACTTATAATTTCAATATTTTCATGAATAATCTAATTTCTATGTATTTCCAGTGTGGTAATTTCTAATTTCCAGATATGTAGT